ATTCCCTTGGACATTTTTCTATTCTTCCTAAAGCTTTTGAAGCTCCATTCTATGAAGTTTTGTAATAACAAGCAATCTATCTATTACTCCCTTCCTCCCCAACTACCTTTGCACTCTTGCCAAAGAACAAAGGGTAGAGGGCAAATACAAAAGCAAATGTCAAGGAACTGTGCCTCACTAAGATTTAATCACAACATTTGGCACATTCCATGTCTGACTTATTTGTCTAGCTTCTATCTTTGAGCCTACAATGCCAGGTCTTCCATATGTCATGTGAAGGAATAAGAGTTTTAATCATGTGCTAGATAACAAAGGTAGCAGTATCCAAAATTCTACTTTTTTTCTAAACACAATCACATATGGACACACAATTATTATTTTAAAATTCATAATTATGTATTTCTGAGCTGATGACCATAACATTGGTGAGTCCATCATTTGATGTGATGTTGCCCAGTTGTTCATATCTTACTGCTTTAGTCTTAAATATAAAGTTGTTTTTAAAAAATATTTATTTATTTGCATACAGAACTGGGGTACAAGTCAGAGGTGCAGGGGTGATGAGAGGATTCACCAGAGACAGAGTGGGGAGCAGAACAGGCCGGCTGATTAAATACACCGCTAAGGGGAGCATTGGGTGGAGGTGGTCTGGAGAGGTCTGCCTTGCCATGTGGGTTACCTTCCAGGCCGAGAATTGAACTCATGCTGAATTGGCTTTAGCTTCTTAGTGCTGTGCTTTAACCAGCTGCGCCACCAGGGAGGGCCCTAAATATGAAGCTTTTAAAGTTTATAGATGAATTTCTTTATCTCTCTGTAATCTGACTTGGTACCACTCTTCTCTATATTCCTTTGTCAAAAACTGGTTCTCCAATACCAACAAAATCTGTTGATAAGACAAAGCTGAATTTATTGCTTACCATTCCATAAGCTTCAAAAAGCTTTGGCAGTGGCTCAGGGAGCTGTAATTTGGCATGAGGTGGGTCTTTCAGAACAAGGACTTGATTAGGACTGGGTGAAAATAGGGTTTATAAAAAAGAAAAGGTGAGAATGTTGAGGCAGAGATTGAAAGTATCTTAGGGTACAAACACAAAGGTAGTTATGAAAGAGTAAAGTAATGCTAGCAAAGATACTAAAGCACATCAGAACCAGTTAATGACGATAAAAAAAGTCACTTTCATTTCAGCATGCAGCTAAGTATTGGGTTGACAGTTTGTTTCCCTCCTACTGAATATATATCCTTGAAGAACTAGAATGCCTAAAATAAATGTGATTTCTCTGACATCAACTACAGAAATGATTATTTTCTCTCTAGTGATGGGCATTTCTTAGTGAAGTTTGAAGACACTGATCTGTGTGACTTAATTTTTTCCAAGTTATAGCTAGTGTGTAGAAGAATTTTAGTCTTTAATGTATTGCCATATCCCCAATGCCATCCAAAAGTTAGCACCCCACTAATTCCTTATCTTTTGCTACTCTTATTAAGAAAACATACTCATACATACATAAGGGTGAGAGTACTTCCTCAGGATTTATGCCTAGTGATCCTATTTCTTTTTTTAATGAAAAAATGATTAAATTTTATTAACTAAAACAAGTGACCTATAATTGTGAATGAAACACTCCCAAAATTTTAACACCAGCAGTTAAAATTTAGTCATACATATATTCATATTATTCTGGTTCTTTTAATTAAACTCCCCTCTCAGTTAACTACTTTTTTTTCAGTTTCCAAGATTAAGACTAATTTATAACTGATATTTGCTAAAGAACAGCTATTTGGAGATAGTGAGCACTATATCCTCTGTATTATTACTACCAAATATTCAAACCCTAGTAACCTATCATCTCCACCAGTGAAAAGCTTAGACACTTATTATCCCAGAACTAATGGTCCTATTTCTGCAACTCGGGGCCTTAGACAAGGCTTAGCTCTCCTTTACGCTGGTCTTCAAATATTGAAGGCAATGATCTGATTTTCCATGATTTAAGTCATCTGCTAAGCTTTTCCCTTAATTTATTGCTTCTGCTTAGTTTCTTAGGGCAAATATTTGAGTCACTTTACCTTCCTAATTGTTCTGTTCTCCCTTTGAAATGCTTCAGATTGTCTACATTTCTTTTTATGCTGGACATTTAGAACTGAATACGATTCTCAAAATGTTAGATTCTCTAGATTGACAGTATAAATATAACTTCCTTTGTCTTGGGTACTACTTACGAAAAAAAAAAAGATTGAATATTTTCATTGTTTTGGTTTCATTTGATCTTTTTCTTTGTCTTGTTTCTTTATATCATGTATATGAAATTATCCTGTATTTTTCATTCTTCTAATTTATTTTGTTTGGCACAATACCCTTCAGTTCCATCCATTTTGACTTTGAACTACTCTAAAATATTTCTCCTGGATTTCTAGTTCACAGTTTGTAGAGTCAGCATTGTTTATTAGTTATGAGCACTTTTTCTGTGGGTAACTCTTTGATGAAGGTCTCATTCTTGCCCTCAATTCCAGCCAAGGGGCATTACATTGCTCCTTGAAAATTAGTTTTAAATTCATTCAAAGCAAGGCTTCATTTATGTAACTCATTTAAGTAACTACCAACTTTTAGACTTTACAAGGATGAATGACTAGAATGTTTTCCTTGAGTGGTCTTAATACTTTGGATGATCTGAAATAGTTTAGAGGCACTAATGATCTTATTGCCATCTACAAAATGAATACAGAGCTAAACTTATGAATGCCTGGAAGTCACAGACTTATATTGTAAAGAAAACTAAACATAGTTTTAATAGACTATTTTAATGCTTATCCATTTGAATAATCACAGCTATAGTGGTTCTGGATTCTAAAACTAGAGTGTAAGGAAAGCTTGAATATTTTGACAGTGAGTGTTCAAAAGCCGTATTTCAAGAAACTTGGAAAGCATCATTACTTTAGGAACTGATTCTTTTCATTTTATCTGGTGAATTTCTTCTTTCAACAGTTGTCTCCAAATAGTACTTTGTTTACAAAGTATTATTTATATCACTCAGTAGAGTTAAATCATTCAAAAGTTTTTGAAAGTATTGCTCTGGGCATATTGTTATAACTGAACATATCAGCTTTCATATCAAGGAGACAGAGTGAGTCCTGGACTTCAACAGATGGATTATATTGGAGCCCCGATAGGAATAAAATCAAGCTCCTTTCCTATGATCTATTTCAGTCTTGAGATTGTATTTCATCCCTTGAAAATAAATCTGATGTCATATAACTCTCACTCCTGAACTAGAACCGAGATTTCAGCACTAATACAAACTTATGACAATGTCATTCTTTAGATTAGATTTTATATTGTGCCTCTAACTATAGGACATAATGTAAAAAATTGTAACATCCCCTTTTTACATAAAGTATATTTCTTAATATTTGATAAGTTATTTAAAACCACACAAATTAAATGAAAGTTATCTGTAACTGACAATTTGTAGGAAGTTTTGAAAGAAAGAAATAAGGATCTCATCTGCCCTTAAAGTACCATCTGCAGAGGTAACCATTTGTATTGTATTATTCTTTGGATCTTCAACAGCCCTGGATAAGTTGTGAATATAGGTTGAATTCATTAAAATTCATCCTTTATAAAATAAACTGCTGAGCAGTTCTTGAGCATCTACTGTTATTTCCATGAATTTGGACAATGTAATTAGTTCTATATGCCTAGCAACAAGCTGCATGCTAGAGAAATAACAGACAGTCAAATAATTTTAAGTGGAGGAATGGAATTGTACTAGAGGCCTACTTATGTGTTTTAATGAAATAATTAAGAGAAGACTGGCATGGGATTCTTATAAATTATATGGAATACCTTCGTGAAGATTTTGTAAACTCAAGTGAATTTTGTTTTTAATAAAATTCTTTTCCCTGAATAGAGTTTCAGTACTGCCAAATTTAAGGACTTCATATACTACAATTTCTTTGATGTCGATTTTACCTGAGGATATCCATTATACCAGAACAAAGTATTCTTTCCCTCTGTACTGTTCATAGTTTCATACAGAATTATATAAATGAGATAAATGCAAATAAAATTATATTGTAGATGGCTACAGTTTCCCCACCTTTCTAGATTCTAGCTCTTATGCAGATAGGTTGTCTTGAGTGTTGGAAATATGGACAGTCTTCTATTTAAGTTTCCTTGTTGACCCAGCCTGCAATCCTGAGACTTGCTCTTAAACCTTGAATACTGATGGTTTCTCTTCTTCTGAGATCCATAGGCCAATAAGTACCAGCTACCTGCTCAGTCTAAGCTGTGCACTGACCGCCTTGCTCACAGTGAAATAAAATATTCATAAGGGACCTTATTTCCATAACCTTGCATCTGCTAATTTTCTTGAGTTTTCCCTGATCTTTATCATACAATAGCTTTTAAATTTCTGTAGGAAAATTCATTTTCAACTATGAGACTAGAGATCTATTTATTTCTAGCAGTACCCTGAGATCATTATGTCTTCATAAAAACCTATGTTCTAGAAAATTTCTTTCTTTTTTTTTATAACCAACCAGATAGAGTTTATTAAAATATCCTCATCAAAACCAATTTTGCTCAACAAGATCAAAATGGGGGTGGGACGAGCACACAGGACTATGGTGATGGTACATGGAGAAGTGGTGGTGGGAAGACCATAGTGATTACAACTGAGATGAAAAATGTGCAAAATGAAAACAATGTAAAAAATATATAATAATAATAAAACAATTTTGCTCAATTGAACAATTATAAGTACATTGTGTTATGCAATTGCAATGTTGCCTTATCATATTTCAAAGAAGTAAAATTGTTTAGTAAAAACTGTAAAATATCTTAATTGTCACATAAAATATTTTTATTGCAAGGTTGAAGGATTTCAATGCAATTTTATTGCAACATTTGGAGAGTTTGAGATACAATTTGAATTTGCTTGTGCTTGTCAAAAATATTAGTATCAGCAAATATCAAAACTGGCCATAGTGTGCAATCCAGAACATACTAATATAGCTCTTTATGCATATTTCCTTTTGGATTTTCATTGTATTTGTAAATGGCCTGTTTGTTCCATTTGGACTTGTTTTTTTTAACTGAGCTGTCTGGATCTTTTTGCTCCTCTGTCTCACTGTGGTCATCTTTAAGATTTTTATAGTCTCCCATGGCTTTCTTTTCATCTTTCAGATTGTTAGAAATTTCCTCATCTACATCTTCACACCCTTCATTTTCTGAACATCTAGGATGCTCTGCCCTGTCAGTGTGGTATTCTAACAAGATCTCTACTTTCTCTTTCTTTCTTCCGTACACCTCTATATTTTTCTTGTGTGGGTGTGTGTGTTGCTCCTTTAATTCACTTTCTGAATCCTCTGTTCTTTTTTTCTGCTCTTGAGTCTGTACATCCTTATTTGAAAATGCTCCCATAAGCACAGCTGCTTGAGCCATGTAGATTCCTTTTGCCAAAAGTTGATTATATGTTTTCCCTTCTTTCATATTTTGGCACATCTCTTTACTTTCATGTTCATTCCCATCATCATTTTCAGTATGTGCTATGTGCTGTTTCAGTTTCTTCATTGTTTGTTTCTTTTGTTTTTGAATTGGCAATAATTTTAATGACTTGTCATTGGAATTCATGCTGATCACATGTGTCATACTTAAGACATCTGTGGTTTTTCCAAAGCTTTCTGAATCTGCTGCTGAAGGATTATTTGTTTCTTTTTCTTTGGTTATTTTATCTTGAAAATAACTGGGTTGCACTGAGCAAAGGGTATCCCCCTTTCCAGATATTGTTTGTTCTGCTGAAGGACTTGTAGGCACATGGGCAAAACCAACAGGTGGTACAGAAATCCCTTCAATTGGAGGTAGTGTTTGTACTATTTGAGTGGAATCAGGCGACTTCTCCTTTTTTCTTCGCCGCACATGTGCTGATAAAGTTCTATATAGAACATTCACTGATGAGAGATCATTGACAGGTAGAGAAGTCATTGAAGGTAAGCAAGAGTCATTTACTTCATCAAAATCAATTTCTTCTGGCACACCATGTCGTGGAGAAGCAAAAACTAGCATGTGACATCCACCACAAGCAACCAATTGAACTGTAAACCTCAAAAAATTAGAGCACAAAGTGGGAATGAACTGATTGTTAAAATTCTCCAATCCACGTCCTAGTTTTCCATGTCTACCATTTCCAAAAGTATACAGACGGCCTACATCTGTTATCAAAGCTGTGTGATTTTCTCCACAGCAAATATAACTTACTTTCTGATGCTCAATCTGATCAACAACTTTGGGTTCTAAAGTTTCGAAAAGAAAAGGACCAAGACCCAGCTGACCAAACTGTCCCAGGCCAAAGGTGTACACGGCTTTCTCTGTGAGGACCACTGTGTGCGCGCCACCACAGGCTACTTGGATAACCGGCTCACAAATTCCAGACACCTGCTGGGGTGTTCTATGATTGAGCAACAGCTGATTGGGGAGACCTAACTTCCCACAATCAGGTTCTCCAAATGTATACAGTTCTCCCTCTTTTGTTACAAAAGCAGAATGGTAATAGCCACAAGAGATCCAGGAAATAGGCTTCCCAACGGTAACTTGATGAGGGACACACACACTAGTTAAATTTTTTAAACCAATTTGTCCTTCAGAATTGTCACCCCACATAAAAAGCTCTCCATCTTCAGTTAATGCAGCTGAAGTGCTGGATCCAGCAGCAAGCTGTTTAATCTTATGCTGGGATGTAAAAAAATTAATTAGCTGAAAACTGTTCCTCTCTTCAGTGTCACCAAGTCCCAATTGTCCTTCATTATTTCCTCCAGCTGCATAAACTTTGCCTCCTTCTGTTGAAACTATGGTGTGGTTCCTTCCACAGGCAGCAAATACCACTTTTTCAGACTTGAAAGCTTTAACACAGGTTGGCTTGTTAACCGTTGACTTTGTTCCTAATCCTAACTGCCCCCAGTTGTTACTACCAAACATGTAAAGTTTATTATTTCCTGTAACAATGGCAGTATGTTCATCTCCACAGGAAAGACATATAGGTATGTACTTTTTAAACCAGAATTTGCTAGGAATATTTTCAGCAAATCTAGTTTTTCCAAATGTAAACACAGCACCTGAATGGGGCACCAGCTCACTGGATTCCCCCATGCCGAGGGCGCTAGGGGACCTCTGACTGGGTCTGGATGTAGGCGGGGGCGACTCGGTGGAGCTTAAGACTTGGGCCTTGACCACGATGTAGGTGGGTCAATGGCAACTAGCATGTTCAAGGAAGTCAACAAACAGTTGCTAGGGGGAACGGAAGTGGAACTTTCAAAACATTCTTTTAAACGGTCATGTTCAAAGTCAGAAGTAGCTGCTTAAAGTTCAACTTTTATAAAATATGTTTAAGATTAATAATGACAAAATAAAGTTCACCGAAATTAATTGAGTGAGCAGAAGAGGCTGGTTTAAGAATATCTATTTCCTTAAACTTGAAACAACGATTTGCTCTTATTTCCTAAATTCAAAATCAATATTAAACACATGTAGTAAATGAAAAATAATGTGTTTGTCCAAACAGTTTTGGTTGACCAGGAGAGACATTAAACGTGGCCAAAAATTCTTTCAGTTTATCTAAGTGAAGAATTTTTCGGCATGACTTCTTTTTTTTTTTTTAAAGATTTTATTTATTCATACAGAACTGGGGTACAGGCCAGAGATGTGGAGGGTGAGAGGATTCACCAGAGACAGAGCAGGGAGCAGAGCAGGCAGATCAACGAAGTACACTGCTGAGGGGAGCAGCGGGTGGGTGAGGAGAGGTCTGCCGCGCCATGTGGATCTCCTCCGGGGCAGGCGGGTATCAAACTCATGAGGAAGTGGCTTTAGCTTCTTAGTGCAGTGCTTTAACCCGCTGTACCACCGGGGAGGGCCCGGCATGACTTCTTATGGATTAAAGTCATGGAAATGTATCCATCTTCTGTTGGCTCAGCTAACATCCATATTAGTTTTGTGTTCAGGAAGTCCTCTTCCAAAACTGTCCAAGACGCCCACCAGAAGATTGGTGGGCATACATTATCTCAGCTTTGTCCCCATTATCTCAGCTTTGTCCCCACAGTAGAAGCGAGAACCTCTTTCCTGACGGCTTTTGGAATCTTGGGATTGCTCTTCCATGGTCTCGCTTGAATAGTACTGTTGCCAGTATGGCAGGCAGGTCTGATTATATAGGAGTATGTCTTGTGTTAACACCTTTAACTTTTAAAAAAATCATGGAATTTAGATTGCGATTGAGTGGTTTCTCTAAGGAAAAAAAATCAGTATGCTGTGACCAAAAGACAGGTCAATTTCACCAACCCTGCACCTCTGTCCTGTACCCCAGTTGTGTGTGCACAATTAAATGAAATCTTAAAAAAAAAATAAGAGATCACTTTAACAATGTTAACTCTTCCCAATCCATTCCCTTCTGTTTTCTATTTCTCTAACAATACATAATAGTTTTCATTGTGAATGGACAGGTCTTTCATCTCCTTTATTAATTACTAGGTTCTATTTTTTTTTGGTTGTGATTTTAAATGGGTTTGTGGTCTTAAGTTCTTCCCGTTTTTTTTTTTTTTGTTGTTGTTGTTGTTTGCAGATAGGAATGAAACAGTTTTTGTATGATGATATTGTAATCTCCTACTTCACTGTCCTGATTTATTGTTTGCAATTGTTTTTAGTGGAATCTTTAAGGCTTTCTCTGTATATAATCATGCCATCTGTAAATAGTGACAGTTTTGCTTTTTTTTTTCCAAATTGATTCCTTTTGTTTCTTTGTCATGTTTAATTTCTTTAACTAGATTTTCCATGTTGAATAGTAGTGGTGAAATGGAATCTTGTCTTATATCTGATCTTAGAGGAAGAACCTGCATATTTTTACCACTGTAAAAATCACTACAAATTTACCAGTGTAAATTCACAGTATATGACTTTTAAAATGTTAAGATGACTTCCTTTTATCTGCATACTTGAAAAATTTTTAATCATAAATGGATGTTGAATTTTGTCAACTACTTTGAGTATTGATATGATCATATTAATTTTACCTTTTGTTTTTGTGGTACAATTACATAGATTGCTTTATAGATCTGTCTAATCATTTTTTCATCTCTGGAGTAAATTTCCCATGTTTATGAAATATGATTCATTAATGCATTACTATAAGTTGGTTTCATAAAATTTTGTGAGGATTTTTGCAGCTATGTTCATCAGCTTTATTGGTCTCTAGTTGTCTTCTTCCTCTGTGTTAATGGAGTACGGAGGACCTTGAAGTGTAATAGGGTACATCAGTGACATGTATCTAGGGAACAAAATAGAAGAGGGAAGGAGAAGAGACTATCTTCCAAATTGTGAATAGAATAGATCTTACTAAAATCTTATGTTTATTCATGCTCTTCTACCTGGCTAGAAATGAGAGGTGGGGAAAGAGTTTTCAGGGAATGAGAATAATGAAGCGACCACAGAGATACAGAGATTGAATTAGTATGTAAAGCATTTCACCATCTTTTCTTATTCACAGGTTGTCTAATGATAATGAAATATAGTTTTTTTGAGTCTGAGTCTTGTGGCATGTACTGTCAACCCAGAGACTTGAGAGAACTGGTCCTATTCAGATCAATCCTCTGGATTTTTTTAGGTGGTTGAAGTAGGGATAGAATTTAGGTGACAAGTTGCTGAGTAGTGTAAGCTGTCTTTTTTTTTTTTTTTAAGTTTTATTTATTCATATAGAACTGGGGTACAGGCCAGAGATGCGGAGGGTGAGAGGATTCACCAGAGACAGAGTGGGGAGCAGAACAGGCTGATTGACAAGGTACACTGCTGAGGGGAGCAGCAGGCGGGTCAGGAGAGGTCTGCCACGCCATGTGGATCTCCTCGGGGCAGTCGGGAATTGAACTCATGAGGAAGTGGCTTAAGCTTCTTAGTGCTGTGCTTTAACCCGCTGCACCACCAGGGAGGGCCCTGTAAGCTGTCTTTTTATGCAGAAGAAAAAAGCCAAACTGAGAAGAAGTAACCTATGCATGAACTGGCTGAAAACCTTGAGTGTATGTTCATGGATATCTTGCAAAGAGAAACTAATATTTGCGGGAAATCTGACCTCTTCACTTTTTCACTGTTAGCTCTCCATAGTAGTGTATTTATTTTATGATAGAAACCAATAATATCAAACATCCACCCCACTGTGGAGAAAAGCAATAGAACCCACAGTTGGAGAGATCATACAAATTTGATTATTCCAACGTCTCTGGATGGCACTTCAACTAAGAATGTGAGAATCACACTGTATGCCAAGTCCTATGGGGACAAAATCTTCAACAAAACATTTTCAAATCTTACAAGTAAAAATTATATGCTTAGTTTGGGGGAAGAATATGATTCTCATAACACAAAACTTACTTTGCCAGTTCCCAGTCTTTTATTTGCCATGCCTTATGCCTTGCTTTTTAGCTTCATCCTTCAGGGTTCTGAATAACAAGTAATACTGAGAGTAATCTAAGAAAACAAGTGGCAAGATGAGGTTTAACACACTTATTTAAACCTGTGAATAAAATAGACACTACTCCTAATTGTATATGGAACAAAAATAATCCCCAGCACAAGGAGACAGTTCAATTACTAAAGATTTCACCAGTAGCAACCTGAGAAATAAATGTCCTCTAGGGCACAATAGTGCATTTAAAAGATAGGGGAACATATTGGGACCATGGCCATTCTCAAGTTCAATTATTGCTAGGGCAACCTTCATGACTCAGCATATAGTTGAATTCATGGCTACAATGTATTTAAAGGAAAGAAATAGAACAAGAATAGCAAGTGAAAAAAGTGCATGAAACAATAGCTGCACAGGAAGCAGAGTTGAGCAGAAAACATTGCAGACTTCCAGAGTTCTCACACATGGAGTCATATGTAACATACTTAAAACCAGCACATATTTGTGACAAAACAAGTGAAATGGCACCATCCATTTGTCACCATTGTGGGGCTCATAAGACTCACAGGGTCCAGGGATTTTTTATAGGGGGTGGTCAAATAGGCAGCTTCTTTCTGGCAGATAACAAAATTCCATTCTGCAAGAAGGAAAGCAAATATTCAGTATAAACTACATTTTTGTTCACAAAGCCTTTCATGCACAGTGATCCAAAATTACCAGTCAAGGTAGTGGAAGTGTCCTGAAATAGCGTTTCTAAATACCAACAATGGCCAACATTTTCAGCATGCCTTTTATAAGAATAGCAGTCAATCCTGTTAGGTCAGCTTTTTCTGAATAGGCAGAAATAAAGCAAAGCCCAACATCTGGGGGAACTGTGGAGATTGACGCTAATTCCTGCCAGCTTCTAATGTGACCTGGCTTTTTGTCCTTAGTAGAAGGATGTGTTGGAAAATAATGGATGATTCCTGACAGTGTAATCAGATTCTGACTCTGATTAACAGCTGTTTCCCCAGATATAGCTTCTTAACTGAAACAAATCAGTAAAACCTTTGTATAGCTGTCAATGGGGAAAAATGTATTGGCTTTCTTTATTTCAAAAAGCATAGAATTCTAGAATATTTTTCCAGTTAAAAGGAAAAATATCATACATTATACTTTAACGTATGATAACTCATTGAGTGTTGAAGATATGGAGCAATGCATTGCCAGTGTAACACAAAATTGCTATTTCAAAGTCTAAAGAACCTTTTAAAATAGTACAAGATTCAGAAATCAAAAAGCAGCATATTGAACACAGTAATTATATACCTTTTTATGAAGTAGCACTGTGGAATTCTGCATTTTCATTGTATTTATTTATTTATAGCTAACAAAAACTGAAATACTTTCTCATTAGTTTCACTTAATCATTACTTTTTGAGTTTCTACTGTCTGACAAGAACTGTACTGATAACTATGGATATAACAGTGAAAAAGTGACAATCACATTTTGTTCTTACAGATTAGTGAAAAAAAAAATTGAAATAAACCTGTAGGTGCTTAGATGAATGAGATCAGAAGGCTTTTGAGATGAATTCTCAGGAGAATCAGTTTGCTCTGGGAGAGAGAACACTGCACTCAGCAGTAAGGCATGTGAATTCTAGTTTCTAACCTCTACAGATTTTCCTATAAGATACTTAACTTTCTCATGTCCAAGTTACATGATAGGTAAAATAATAACTTCAAAAATTTGCTGTTTCTTATCTAAACACATAATAAGAGTTTTCTACTCAGTATTAAAGGATACATATTTCCTTCTCATAGAGCAATTTGAATCATTGAGCTTGAAATATTTGAACAAATTTGAGAAATCCTGATCATAGCTCTAAATCATACGGTTATGATTGTATAAACTTAGGAATCTACCCAGAACATTTCTATGTGACTGATAGCTCTGTTGTGGCCCCTCCCCTCAATTTATGTAATTGACTTTTTTTTTTTAACAGTTCTTCAGGAAATAGCATGATCACACAGGCTCCAATTGTTCAAACATGTTATATATAGGGCAATAAACCTCCATACTTCGCTCACTATAGAAATGGTGTAATTGCTCAAGTTAAATATTTTCTAAAGACACACCTCTGAGAGAATAATTTAACTGCCTTGAAAGTCATTTGTCAAAATTGTATACAGCTACCAATATATCCAGGCATAAGAGGCAAATATAGAAACCAAAGAATAGAGAGAAGAAAAAGAATGTTTTAGTTATGGGCTCACTAATTACAGCTGCCTAAGTTGTAGACATATCAATCAGTGGTCTTCTGCCTTGCTAGAATGCTAGAATGTTAGCATTCCCAAAGAATGAAGCTTTCTGTTTCCTTTGGATTTCTTATGTTTTCATCTCTACACTGGTTCAGCAAGGAACAGAAGCCTTTCAGTGTAGGAATGGTGTCTTCTTGCCTTCTGACCAAGTGTGTGACTTCACAGATCAGTGTGGAGACAGGAGTGATGAACAGCAATGTAAGTGCTATTCCTCCCTATCTCCAATTTCCATTCCCTGGACACTTTCAAACCAGAGCCCACGAGCAGTTTATGGAGATTCAGCAAGATACCTGGTCCTGCATACAATTAATTTCTAGCCTTTATTGTAAATCATAACTGAAAACAGTTTTTTTTTTGAGAGATGGGTTCACGTGTAAAAATTACTCAAATTAAACAAAATCAGATTGCTAAGATTCTAACAGAATGGAATGTATTTAAATTAGTTTTTAATGATTATATGGAAGTTGGTATCGATGGGATATAGAGTACAACTCTGGTTTATATCCTTTGATTTCTGGGTAGGGCAAAAAGTACAGAGCTGAACGGGCAGGACCTGTGTTTGAGATGAGATCTCATCTAATGTGTGATCTTGAATCTATTTTATTATAAGAGGTTATAAAATTAGGTAACTGAACCCTCATAAGTGGCAAATACTCTATTGCCTACGGGTATAGTATTATTAAAAAATGTTTACTAGTGGAGACATGGGTGAAGATCTGTATGTTTCTGTAGTTTCGATGGCAATTTGATATTGTGAAGGAACACTACATTTTACCCATGGAGACAAATGTCATTCTTAGCTACAATCACCTTTCAAAAACATTGTCATAAAATTAAATTGTTTCATTATTCCTTCATAGAAACTATTGATTAAATTTTCTGGAAGCACTAATTTTATTATTTTAGAACACAATTCAAACATGTATTTTTATTCAGATACTACATTATTATTTATAGAATTCTACATTTTCTTCTGTAAAATAACATATTTGACTTGCTATTGCTTGCCTTCTATTTTCATATTCGGTATTATTACATTAAAACAAGAAAGTGATTGCTAAAAACAATTCTTGCCCACAGAATAAAATAAGTTAATGGATTTTTTACTCTAGTTTGAAATAGGTATCACACTGTTAGTATCTAGGAACTTTTAAATGCCAAGTACAACCAAAGGCTGGAATTCATTTGTATTTGTCCAATTTCCCCAAAAAGGCTAAATATGGTGTGCTGCCCTTTCTCTGGCCTGTCTAGGAACATCCTTATGGTTCTTGGGTGAGCAGCAAAGAGGAACCTTTGGCTGGTTTGACAAGCAGCACAGTCCCTTCCATTATTAATCGGCATGCAGCTTTCTTTAACACACTTGCTGTGATAACATGCATGGGCCTGCTTCAGGGAAAAGGTTAATGTGCAAGAAGGAGAAAGCCACTGTGTAGGAAAGGTCTTGGCTGCACGAAAAATTTTAATAACTCACAGCTTTGGAAGAAAAGCAAAAGAACAGATCTGTCGAATAAACAGATTTCATTTTAAATGTTACATTGGGAACTTACCTTTTTGGCTTTTCCACTTTTCATTTTCATTTGAGAAGTTTTCACTTTGGTATTTTATTTAAATGTGGACCATAACCTCTAGATAAAATTGAGAATCAATTTAAGGTGTAAGTTTCTTTTGTATCTCACACTGTGTGTGTGTGGGGGGATATTGTGGAGGAATAATGACATCAGATACTTTTTCTCATGGAAATTTGTGATGTTCATTTTACAGATGAGATTATTTATAAAAGCTAAACTTTATAATGATGCTAAAGTAGTCACATTTTGAAAAAAAAAATCTGTGTCTCCTTTTAACACTCAAATAGTGTGACCTTTAAAGCAATAGATTAATATGTTGACTTTTCTTAATGAAACTGGCATAGTTGGGGTTGAATTTCAGATGCAACTGATTCTATTAGTAGGTTTTTGAGAATGTTCTTTTCTTAAAGAATATTACCTGAGAATACTTGAATCTGTTATGTTAGCTCAACTTTTTTTTCAAAGGGACCTTTTATTGAAGATCACTGAATTATACGCTAGAATACATGCCATTTGTACATGATTTTGGACATTTTAAAATATACAGTGAACAAGAAAAAGAATTTTTATGTTTAACCATTGTTGTTTGTAGTGTTGACAAGACTCCCTTCTTTTTAGAATTTATTGATGATCCAGGGTAATAAGTGTGATACTGATTTGGGTATGTTTGTTTTTTAATTGTGTTCTAGTTGTTGTATAATCTGCTTCCACATTGGTCCTGTTTGCTTGTTTTCCTCATTCTCTTTTATTTTCATTTTCATAGTTAACATAGGGTCATACTAACTATAGAGATAGGCTAGCTTATCTTCTAACAATTGCTCAAAATTACTCACTCTATAATGATTTTTTGTCTTAAAAATGCTATTTTTCTTAAAAATAAAGTTAGCAGTAGTACTTACTTTGCTACCATTCAAATCCAGTGGATTACATAGGATACTGTTGGTAGTGTTGGATACACCCACACCATGTTTGAAATGTGATTAATCTGATTTTTATGCAGTGGGCAATTTGGGAAGATGTTGTAAAATAGATCATAATTTTTTTTTAAAGATTTATTTATTTATTTGTGCATACAGAACTGGGGTACAGGCCAGAGGCTCAGGGGAGGTGAGAGGCTTCACCAGAGACAGAGTGGGGAGCAGAACAGGCAGATCGACAAAGTACACTGCTGAGGGAAGCAGCGGGCGGGTCAGGAGAGGTCTGCCACGCCATGTGGCCTCCTCCGGGGCAGGCGGCAGGCGGGAATCGAACTCATGCGGAAGTGGCCTCAGATTCTCAGTGCTGTGCTTTAACCCGCTGCGCCACCAGGGAGGGCCCAAGATCATAATTTTTTAAATAAAGTGACTTTAGCTGTTACTGACAGATAAAACCAGTCAGTTAATCAGAGACAAAAATAGGATTAGGTCCTCAGTCTTCTGAAGACCTCAAAAGATAGTCTCTACTTAAAAAACTGGATTTGTGCATAGCGATTTATTCAAATGTCATTCAAGAAAGCTTTGCATTAATAAATTAGATTTAAGATGTGAATAATGATCTTTCTTAGTCTATATTGTCATTTGTGGCAAAGCTTATTTTTAAAATGCTTTCTTATGTTTTGAGAAGTTAAAGTATTATAAAGCTAGCTTATTTTTTTCTTTCTTTAGGTTGGAATTATGAGAGATGCAATTTTGAGGATGGACTCTGTAGTATGACACAAGATAGGAATCCACAACTTGGTTGGACAAGGACAAATGGAATGACTGGCCTTTCACCTCCATTTTATGATCACAATGGTGATGTGTCTGGTAAATGCTTTGTATTTTCTGTCTTTCTAAAGTATCTGATTAAAGCAATAGAAGCTTACTCTTTAGATTTTAATAATTATCTCACTTTCTGCATTCTTTAGCCATTTAAAATATTTGTGATAGCAAATTATCACAATAGGAAAGATTTTACAGGTATTTTGACTCTATATAAATTGTAAAATTAAAAAAAGTACTACTACATGGATTGATTAGTCAAGTTCTTTGCATGTGGATAGACTGATTTCAGTTCTGTCCAGTATCACTTGTTTTCCAAGGGTGACGAGAAAGCTCTGGTGGGATATTTATTAGCCTTCCAGGTAGCCAGACATATATTCATTTACTCATTCATGAACTTCACTCACTCACCATTTTTTACCAGGTGATTAAGATAGTTTAATGAGCAAAAACTGTCTACAAACCTGCCATAATCTGATGGGTTTATACATGATGTAAAATGAACTGGTAGATGGCCTGATATAGTAAATTGAAGGGTGGTGATTATTTTTAAACAGTGGTGCTTCTCTCAAGTAAATAAGATTAAACATTTAATATGAATATTTTCTAGAGATAATTTAAAGCAAGCAGATATAAAGATTTTATTTGTTAGTTGATGAAAATGTTTATAAAACTACTATTCATGTTGATGAGAATCCTAGCACCATCATTCATAGGCTATGTGACCTTCAGCAGTTTACTTTTTAAGCCTCAGCTTCCTTAACTTTGAGGGAGGCAGTAATAGTATATAGTGCACAGAGTAGTTGATTTAAGATCCAAATGATTTGTTATCGCTAAAATTTGTAATAAAATATCTGACACACACAAAAATAAACATTGAATACATTCCTGAATAAATTTTTTGTTCCTCATTCTAACTTCTCTGTAGGCATGATGGGGTTCCTTTTATTTTTGTTTTGATGTTGAAAGTCATTTTTTAGAATTTAATTTTTTTCAGGCAGAGAAGCAAGAAATTTATTGTCAGATAAAGAGGACAGGAAAGTTCTCTAAGCAGAGAGGGCTCCACCAGCTTCCCAAACAGCACCACGGACACATTACTTTACATATTTGTAACATGTATTGTGGGTTCAGTTATATTAGGTCATGCTATTGAATTGGTTCCCAATGTTTAGTTATTGCAATGCCTTTTGAATTGTTTGATTCAGGGTTTCTCTGTTTTGGACACTTCTAACAGTGTCTTTTATACAGAAAAGTTTTTTTTTTTTTTTTTTATTGCCTTTGGCTTTTTCCTGTGCACAATACTGATAACCTTTTTTTTTTTTTTAATGTTGTGGCTCTTATATATTTATTTTGCCATCTCTTCTTGGAGCTAGATAACATCAGAATGTCTATCATTGCTTTTTTTTTTCTTTCTGTTTGCTTCCCTCCTATTATTCTTTCTTCTTTCATTACTTTCTTATTCTCACTTTGCCATGTTCACTTTTGATTACCTAGTTAAGAGATACAGTGAGAAATTGCAAGAGTAACCAAAGTATCCCTGAGAACAAAAGCCCCAGGGCCAGGTGGTTTCATTAGTGAATTCTACCAAATTTTCAGAGAATATGTAATAGCTATGCTTCTCAAATTCTTCCAAAAACTTGCAGAAGTATGAGAGCTCCCAAACATATTTTACATGGTTAATATTCCCCTGATCCCCAGAGCATATGAAGGCAGCACAAAAGAAGAAAGTAAAAGAAAACTATTGAACAATATATTTAATGAGCAGAGATGCAAAAATCCTTGAGAAAATTAAGCAAATCTAATCCAACAACATATTAAGAAAATTACTCATCACGACTAAGTAGGATTCATACTAAGGATACAAAGTTGGTTAAAAATATACAAACCAATTCATGTCATTCAACCCATCATTAGAAAGATAAAAATCACATGAACATTTGGCAATATTCAACACTGATTTGAGATAAAAACTGAATAAAATGGAATTAGAGGAAACATATCAACTAAAAGCCATGAGTGAGTAAGCCACAGCCAATATCATACCCCGTGCTAAAAACCTGAAAACATTTTCCTTAGATTATAAACTAGACAAGGATGTTCAATTTCACCACTACAGTTTTAACACATAAGCCCTGGCCAGAACAACGAGGCAAGAAAAAACATTTTAAATAATCCAAATTAAAAAAGAAATGAAGCTGCCACTATTGTGAATGACATAATACATTAAACCATCTCCCAATATCCCTACCCTATAACTGCTAGAAGTAATAAATTAATATAGTAAAGTGGGAGGATACAAAGTCCATACACAAAACAAATTAAAAGAAAGAAATTTGGGGGAAAAAATCTTCATTATAATCACACCAAAAAGGATGAACTATCTGATTGTAAGTTTAAGACATCATCAAAGGAAATAAAAGAAAGCACAAAGAAATGGGAGGGTATCTAGTGTCCATGTATGGGAAAAATATGCATTGTTAAAATCATCATATTGCCTAAATCAAGTTATAGATTCAAGGAAATGCCTGTCAAAATCCCTATGACAAGGGAAACAAAAGCAAAATTGAGCAAATAGAACTGCATCAAACTCAAAGTCTTACAGTGGTATGAAAGAAACCACTACAAAAACAAAAAGGCAACCTTTGGACTGGGAGTTGATAGCTGGACATCACACATCTGACAGGAGGTTAATCTTTAAAACATAAAAACTCATACAACTCAATAACATAAAAACACCTGAACCAACAAAAACAGGCAGAAAAGCTAAAAATATACTTCTCCAAAGAAGACATACATACATACAGATGGCTCACATATACATGAAAACATGTTTAGCCTATCTTCTTCTTAGGGAAATGCAAATCCAAACTACTATGATATGTCATCTTATGCTGGTGAGAATAGTCTGCTTTCAAAAGACTGGACACAACAAATGTTGGTGAGGATGTGGAGACAAAGGAAGCCTCCTTCATTGTTGTTGGGAATATAATTTGATGTAGTCTTTCTGGAAAATGGCTTGTAGATTCCTAAAAAAAAATGTACTGAAGCATGAAGCCAAATTAAATGTCCAAAAGGACTAGATGAGGAAATAGTGGGTTATATACTAAGGGAATATTACTTGGTTTTTAGAATATTACTTTGTCCCAAGATGATTATGCCAAGTGAAAAAAATTGAGAATTTGAAAGACAGTTACCAGATAATTTTACACATTTTGCAGAATCTTCATATTTTAATGTATCCTACTAATTTCCTTGTCATTTTTACTATGTATTTTGAATTATGTTATTAGTGCTTGACCAGTAGATTACATTTAATATCTTAATTTATGACAATGTAGATCAGTCATTTAATTGCAATAATAGAAAAATTGGATCTTATGTATCTATAGTTTCCCTGCCTTTATGCAGTATTGCCACAAATTGTATCTTTATATATTGTGTGCCCTTATGTAATTTTTATTTATTTTTTTAAGATTTATTTATGTATGCTTACAGAACTGGGGTACAAACCAGACTTGTGGTGGGTGAGAGCATTAACCAGAGACAGAGTGGGGTGCAGAACAGACAGATTGACAAAGTACACTGCTGAGGGTCACAGCAGGTGGGTCAGGAGAGGTCTACAATGCCATGTGGGCCAGCTCCCTGGCAGTGGCTACGAGAACTTCATAATGCAGTGCTGAAATCCGTTGTGCCAACGGGGAGAGCCAGTGATTTAGATTTCTGTGAATTGTAGCTGTCAATTATACTAAGTTGTTTATTTTTAGAGTCTCTCCTTTTTATTGATAGTCATTATTTTGTGAGATTCTTGTTGGTAGCTTTAGTTCCTTAGATTTAGTTTTCTTTAGCTTTTTGAAATATTTACAAATAGCTGATTTAAAAAATTTGTCTAGGAAATTCAATGTTTAGACTTCCTCAGAGACACTTTGCACTGACAGTTTTTTTTTTCCCCTCTGGATAGGTATGTGTGAATTTCTTCTGCATGAATGTTGTGGCTTGTTTCCTTGCATTTCTCACAGCTTCACTGGAAATACTAAAAATACTTAAAATACTTAAAAGCACTATATTAGGCATACTTGACTGCAATAAAGCAAATCTTGCTAAAAAGCAACCATACAAATATTTTTGTTTCTTAGTTCAAATTAAAGTTATGTTTTCACTCTAGTTTCATTTATATATATAGTTTTCTATCTATAAACATTATATAAACTATAACATTATGTCTAGGTATATACCTTAGTTAAATGTGACATAAGAGACACAAACTGAGCACATGGTATTGGAAAATAGTGTTGATAGACTTGTTCATGCACAGTTACCATAAACCCTCAAATTACAAAAATCTCAATACCTGCCAAATTCTGTAGAATGGATATGCCCCAATTAGAACAAAGCTGTAAATCTGTTCCACTCCCTTAAGTTTTGCTGTTATCACTTTTTGCTGTTGTTTTTGGCATTAGTGATTTTTCTGAACTACATCTGTAAAGTATTTATTCTTGTCATCTGTGATCACTGAACTCCTGCTAAGCAGGCTTATGGTGATTAATGTTCAACTAATGATTAGAGATTTTTCCTTGAATGCCTAGGCCAATAAATCTCCCAATGTTTGTTGAGGGACTCTGTGTCCAGTTGGGGTGTGTCTTCAACACTCATCTAGGCAGTTGACAACCATGTCTCAGTCTCCATTACCTGCTTTCGAATAGCCTCAAAGTCTGCTAGAGATGAGAACCGAGGGACTTTACAGTTCTTTGCAGAACATAGCACACACCTCTGCATTCACATGCTCATCTAGATTTGCAGGAGTATTTTGGAGTTTTTCTTAACGCTGTGGGACAGCTCATTTTCCAGCTTTTCCTTTAAGCTTACACTGTTACACACTGCCTCTGGAAACGATAAAGTTAAAATACTTGCCAGTAATTATTTTCAACAAATACCTGCTGTGAAGAATTTGTACCCTGGCCAAACTGTTCATATGGTCAGTTTCAGACAGCAGTTGTTAGTGGGCACTTTTAGGAGATGCTAGACATGGAACCAGCTTTCAAAGAGCTCTGACTCTTATGATGATCATGTTGCCCTAGGCATGTAGGTACTATCTTTTACAGTTACCATGGAGCAGGAGTGTGAGCAATTGCAATAGGGCATTTAAAAAAAAAAGTTTTATTTACTTATGCTTACAGAAATGGGGTATTGGCCAAAGGAGGAGGGGCAATGAGAGGATTTACCGGAGACAGAGTGGGGAGCAGAACAAGCAGACTGATGAAGTACATTGCAGAGGGGAGCAGCGGGTGAGACAGGAGAAGTCTGCTGCGCCATGTGGATCTCTCCCTGGCCGGGGATCAAACTTGTGCTGTAGCAGTTGTTGCTAGCTTCCTAGTGCTAGCTTTAACCCTTTGCACCACCAGGGAGGGCCCAGGGCATGTTAAAAACATGGAGCTTACTACTTGCTTTGAGATTCAGTCACTCCGTGAATAAAAGCTCTTCAGTTTGTTCTAAATCTTGTTATGATCATTTTGGCCAAGTTTTTCATTACTAACAATTATAATGAATTACTGCTTGAGAGTATCTTTTAAGAATTACAGTTTTAGCAAATATATGGTCATGTTGAATTTGTTAGTTTAATGAAAAGCTATCAGACAAATCTCAGAATTTAATAGAATCAGAATTTAGTAAATAAGAAATGACCAGCTTGAAGGAGTTTGTGTCTAAGATTTTTATTTCTTTGCTGTTATGTGAACTGATCCATTTTCCATCAGAGGTGAACATATTTACTTACCCTTTCCAAAAATTTTGACACTAGAAACTTTGCTTCAGGCCTTGGGCCTTGTCATGATGATCCATTCCCGCAAACTGAATTTTTGGAAAATGTTCTTGAAAACTGATATTATCTCATTGTTAAAATACTCAATTTTTTTTTTAGCTCCTTTGAGCCCATTTGTTACTCTGCAGTGTGCAATAGGATTTATGTTTCTCTTGCACACATTCATTCTTATTAATCACTTAGAACTCAGAAGTGGAGAAGAAGCAAGGCTGGCTATCAATAGTTGAAGAAAGTGAGACTGAAAATTCAATTTTATTTTTCTTGAGGATCACTTTTGCCAGTTATTTGATTTAGTCCTTAAAACTTGATTCATAGTTTCTTCCACTTTTATATTTTATATTTCCTTTTTTGTTGGTACTAAACTTGGTTTATGTTGGGATTCTATTCCAACGTTTACCCACTAACTGAGGAAAAAATATTTTTGAAAGTCCTTTTAATATAAATATTTAAGATCATGAATGGAGTCATGCTGTTTGACTTCTTATTTTGTCATTTTAATAACACAAGATTATTTAAAATTTTAAAGATATGCTCTGCTGGTGCTTTAATGGATGCAGGCACAAAATAAGAATTTGTGAATCATTAACGGAAATGAATATGGTATAGAGATTAAAAGAAGTCATCATATTGATGGCATGATGTGTGTATATGTCTGTGTGTAACATGTATATTACTAGACCCTTTCAAGGAATAAGAGAAGTATGCAGAGAAAATATTGGATACATTTTTTTGTTATTTTCATAAATCTCTTGATGGTTATGGTTAGTATGAAGAAGTGTTGGATGAAGGAATGGCCATGTTGGAGAAAGTTATGCTGTCAATCACCTGCTTTTTATACTTTTAGACATGATGTCCAAAGGCCTATAGAACACATGTGAATTATCTATAAGGTAGAAAATTTGATAAGTCTTATAGAATTAAGACTGTGAAATAAAGATTTTATTGCCACTCTACAGGAAGTGAGGTAAAACTCTGCATTTAAAACAAATGATTGCACCATCACTAAGTCAGAATTAAAAATAGAAACCACATGTTATTATTGGTTGCATTTTCAGCACTTTCTTTTTGTCCATGAAAAGAAAGTTTATTTGTAGAACAAATAGCAAAGGATTTCCAGCTGCTTATGCATTGAAAATTTTATTTTTTACAGCTTAAAAATATAACCTTTATTTAATTTTTGACAAAGTGTAGAATAATTTCCATTGCTTTAGCACATTCCAAATTAAATAGTTTATATTTGTAAAATGCCCTGCTTAAATATTTGGATAATTTATTAATGAGTGATTTCAACAATTTTATTTAAAATATTACTCCCTTTTTAAATAGCTTAATGTGTCAAGTTTGAATTTTAAGTCCAATTTTCAAAAGTAAATGTGATTAAGTAATTTCCTTGATAAACAAAAATAATTTTAGTAGCTGAATATTTATAAACAATAATTTAAAGTCTATTTAATACCATACCATTTGTATGATAATAATATCTGAACCGAAAGCAATATATTCACATGGTTCATTGTGCTTACTTGATTATTCATATCCTTAATATACGCTATACCTGCTGAATATAAAACAAGAGCATTAATGACAGTCCACTTATATCACTATGCTGTCAGCTCTTCATCTGAATTATGTTTATATAATTATTCCAGGGAGTACATTCTCAGAACAATTTTCAGTTATTGCAGGGATTTCAATTATGCCTCTGATTATATCTTTAAGCAATCATTAATGTCACTGTTTTCTGTTTAGAGTATAATTTGGGAATAGGAGAAGGGAAGAAGAGGTTTCTTAGCTTTCATAATTTTACTATCGATTCTCTCAATGATGTGACAATTAGATCTGATTTCTAATCCAACTTTAAAATACCACTGAATAATTCAAGTAGATGTCATCATAATCATCAACATAATTTTCAGTCCTTTTGACAAATAGCAGTATACTAAATAGCATAGCAGGAAACAATGGTTCCCAGATTATACTCTCTAATTTTGTCAATCATTGCAGGAAATCCATGAGAGCCAGGGAATATTTTATATATATTTTATAGACTTCTGAACAATAATAGTCCAGTGACATAATCTGCATTGCAACATACAGGAGATTGCCAGGGTTCAGCTCTGTAATTCTGGGAAAAATTGAGACTATCAATTTAATTCTTTCTAGAGAAAAATCACAGCAACATTAATCTCTTATGAATTCTTTATTGAATTGGTTATTTTGGTAGGCAGTTCCTGTAAAATGTTTTCTCTGGATACCATCTTTGCAGTTATAAGTACGTTATACGAGATAAATTGGATTATAAAGTGCAGCCCATAATCGTGCTAAGGGAATGTGATCACAGTTAGTTATTTCACTGAGAAATATAAAAAAATGTAAAAGTATCAGTTGGATCATTTGCAGAAGCAAATGGTGTGGTTAAATATTTGACTTAAAAAGTCTTGAACCTAATGTGAATGTATCCTGAGTTACTGCTTGATATCTTAAATAGATTTACCATTTATAGTTCTGAATCTAACACTTTTGTTTCTGACAGCCCACTTTCTTTCTTTGGTATCCAAACTGGATTCTACTTCATCAAGCTTAAGAAGCAGGATTTTTCTTCCAACGAATAACCAACTTACTTGTCAGGTATTTGAAAGCAGACAGCATTTTAAATAATTCTTGCAGTTAGAAAATACTTTTTTATAATTGTTGGGACATTAATTATTTTTCACAGATTACATTTTATTACTTCTCCAGTCAAGTGAGTGGCAAATTAACTGCAGGCCTTCAAACTGAGTGTGGTGGTCCTCTTCAGCATTTATGGCAAAACACAGCTGGACAACAATATCAGTGGGAGAGAACTGTCATTAACATCGAGAGCTCCCAGCGGTTTCAGGTACATTTACGTTCTCTGTGTGTCTGAAGGGCAAATATAAGATGCATAACTTTTCATACCAACTATGCTATAAGCAGAACAACTCCTGTTCCAGTTAGCTGAAACTAAAGGATTTTGGTAGGCTGCATGTATGAGTTTATCTTTCACACTCTGTATTGACTGAAAATCTCAAAATTATTTTGGAAATGAAGGTTGTATTGAATTTCTTGAGTTTAACTAGGGAATAAATATGATAATTTTTAGTGATTGGAATTAATATTAAAATCAGTCTCTTTCCTTATTACTGAAATAATAAGCTCTGGTCTCTCCAAAGCAAGAGACATGTTGAAATTCAATGATCCCAGCAAACTGGAATAGTGTCGCCCTATGGAATATAAAATCTGATATTTGATGGATTTAGCCCTTTTTTAAATACAAGGTTCAAATTGTGATGAATTTTAACTTCAGCTTTTCTTTCTTCTTCTTCTTCTTCTTTTTTTTTTTTTGAGTAGATAAGAAGAAAGGGATAGAAGAATGAGAAGGATCTAGTTTAGACTTTTCACACTATAGTAAACTAAATGGATAGGTCCAAAAAGCTTAAAGAAATTACCTTCGAGGTGGTTAACTGATTCCTAGATGTCAGAACTTATTAGTTGAAAATATTGTCTGTCCTTTGAGGCACTAAGAACTCATATATTAGTATGTTGGGGATGCGCACCTTAAGTCATCAGGCAATTAAGTCTTCCTATGATTTATCCAGTTACTTAACAGGGACTTACTAGGGTCACTTGGGATGCATGAGATAGATGCAGGGAATGTTTCCAGAATTATGTCAAAATTTTTGACAGTTCTATTGAGATATAATTGACATTTGGCACTGTGGAAGTTTATGGTATACAGCATGATGACTTGATATATATTTATGCTGTGAAATGATTACCACAATAAAGTTAGTTAACATATCCTTTATTCACTGTATGTGGTGAGAATATTTAAGATCTACACTCTGAGTAGCTTTCATGTATTATTAGCTATCTTCCCCTTTACCCAATAGTAGAACTTTAAAATATATTTATTTTATAGCTGGAAGTTTTCATCTTTTCATCCACATTTCTCCATTTCCTACCCCAAAGATCCTGGCCACCAGGTTTCCATTCACTGTTTCCAAGTGTACAGAATTTTTAGGTTCTACATTTAAGTGAGATCATAGGATATTTTCCCTTTTCTGTTTGACTTATTTCACTTAGCATAATGCCCTCACGATTCTTTCATGTTTTTGCATTGTGGATGATCAGTTGTCATTAACCATTAGACAAGTTTCTAGCTTACTTCTTACACCCCAGTGTGCCCCTTTCTTTTCTCAATAACATCATAAACACCAAAACAGATCTGAGAATGCTTTTGAGTCACATGACGAGATGCTGAAAGATTAACTTGATGATGTCCCTTTTGTCTGCAGGCTTAAATAAATCTTAGTGACCAAGATAGGAATTTTATCAGTATTTATACATCTTTTCTAACTTTGAAACAGAATTTCTGGCAGAAGAAACAAACTATTTTTGTGAAATGCTGTGCCTTCTTATAGCTAACTCTACCTTTAGGTAAAAATTTTTGCTCAAAGCACAAAAGGGATTAGGATATTGGACAGAGTGGGAACCTGCCACATCTTGTAGGTTAAATCTTTTAAAATACCTTCCTTGTTTTTTTCTGCTGCCCAGGCCCAAGTAGCACATCATAGAGGCTGATGATTAAATATGTGTAGTAGCTAAATATAAAACTTAAAACTCCTGAGCATCTCATTTCTAGGGCAATTCAGCTCTAGCTGAGGCAGCTAGGTTATTCACTTGAGTGCTTTAATATGCAGCATTTGCTTCAACCAAAGCAGATGCATGAGCAGTGTATTAATTTATTTCCCAAAATACTTTATTGCTGATCTGAAAACAGGACTTCCACCTTAAAGGGCCTCTACCTTAAAGGCTTTGTAAAATTTAGTAGACTATACAACTCTCTTGGGATCCTTTGGCTACACCAGTCTTCAAGATTGCAGGTAAGTTTTAGTTGTATCTTGTCAGCAAGTGAACAGATGTTCATTTGCTTTTATTTGTTTGCAACAAAGAGATGTGCTGTGCTTGTAATACTGCCTGCTACCATCTAGTAGCTAGTTCCTAAAAAGCTTTATCAAGAGGCTTATTTGAGGTCATTTTGTAATCACTGTCTCCAGACAATATCTGCTGCCTCATCAGCTTACAAGAATTATTCCATTTTCTGCAATTTCCCTTCCATGCTTACCTCTGATAGTTTTAAAGCCATTATTTCTTCCTCTAGAAATATCCAAATAGGATATTTCAGTCTCAGCTGAACCCTGGCTTATCACGAGCTTCCGAAAAAGCCTCTGAATCTGACTCTCACTGGGGTTTTATCATATTTCTCTATAAAGTCCTAGGGCCATCCCATAGTAAAGTTGAAGCATGTTCATTTCTGAAGGCATATTGTTTTACAAACATGGAATGGTGTTTATTTAGTCAGTAAACATGGCTGAAGTTCAGAAATTTTCTGGAGAAGTTTAAGGAATATTAATAACTAGTATTTATTAGCCCTATGCAGAATATAAGTACTTCATTGAGATCCTTATATAAATTATCTTATTGACTCTTCATCATAATCCTCTGAAGTAGAGCTAACCTTCACCCCAAAGTTCACATGAAAATTTAGGGAGTGGGATAATCTACTAAATCCCGTACTAGACAAGAACCTAGAATAGTTTGATTTCAGATTTCATCATTTATTCACTGAACCATATTTTTAATCATACTAGAGCGTCATATGGATTTACAAGATATAGAAGATAAAAGTCTAAACTCCACATTTGATTAAATCCTTTGTATGCAACTTGTTAAAAATTCTTTTCTGTGCTGTGTTGGATTATGTGAATTATATCATATAGTACACATTATATGGTACTGATTAAACAATCAATTTTTTTTCTCAAAATTGCAGACATAGCAATTAATTTGACTATAGTTCTAAAAGCAAATTGACATACAGCAAAGATGTGGTCCTTTGCCCTCCCTGATGGCTCAGTGGGTTAAAGCACAGCACTAAGAAGCTAGAGCCACTTTAGCACGAGTTAAATCCCCAACCTGAAGGTGACCACATGGCGGCAGACATTTCCTGACCCACCCGCTGCTCCCCTCAGCAGTGTACTTCCTCGATCTGCTTGTTCTGCTCTCCACTCTATCTCTGGTGAAGCCTCTCATTGCACCTGCACCTCTGGCCTGTACCCCAGTTCTGTATGCATAAGTAAATAAATACTTAAAAAAAATGTGATCCCAAACTCAAATATACCCATCTCTGTCCCTCTCCTTTTTATTTTACTCTTAAAGGGAGCCCATTATTGGTTTTATGAGGACGTAAGAAATGAATACTCAGTATTTCACTGACTACGGTTTTGAAGTTGTATGTTTTGATGCTTAAATTAAATGAGCAGATAGTGCTTGCATATGAAAAGATGGTGAAGTGCTTTAATATATTACTGCCTAAAGTGCCAACCTTCTCAGGAGCTTCTGATTCAGAAGCAATACACATTGCAAATACAAAATGCAAGTTATTCATAAAAATAAATTTTATCTTGACTTACAAATTCTACTCTCAAATTTTTCAAAATCATAATGTGAAGTATTTTACCTTTTAATTCAAGAATGTTTACTGTATAAACACATGACTGGAGAGAAGTTCGTCATCTTTTAGTGTTTCATGATTTTGCTTGGGAAATAACATTGAAAGTATAATATTAAATAAGGAAATTCTAACAACAAATATAATTACAAGAGTTTATGTAGTTACTAGTGTCCTCCAAGTGGATTTATATGAATAATCTACCTATCATAAAGTTTCATTAAGATTTTAAAGTAAATGGTTTGAGCGCTGTTTCCTGTCTTCCCTTTAGAAACCAAATTCTTTTAAAATGTGTGGGACAAAAATAAATTTGTCTTCTGTCAGTTATTGGATCAATACAGACCGTAACTGTCTTTTCTGATGTTGCTTAACTCCTGACTATCTGTGAGTGTTATGATCTGCTTTTGTTTGCTACTCTCTGGTGCTTTAATTAATACCCCTAGTAGAATTAGAAATGAGGTGGATGTTTGGGGAAAAAAAATTGGATTTTACTCAAACTTTTGGGGAAAGCAAGGACTTCACATGTTAGATTTCAAGTTCCTAAAAGTACAACATACCATACACTAACATAAACTGTAATTATATGATGATAGGACCTTGCTGGCTTTTTTTTTTTTTTCAGGATCCCAGCTATAGTCCCTAGAAATATTTTGGCTCAGATTTAATTAACTAGATTATTTGTAATGCCTGATGTGTCTTATTTTCTATAGCTATGTGATCCAGTAGTAAATGGATTTTTAGAGAGAAATAGTTCCCCTTGCTGGAAAAGTGGGTGCAAATAACAGACAATTTTCACACTAACTTTTCTTCATTTCTACCAAACTAACATGGTTTAATGAGTTCAATAAGTATATAACATGACTGCAATCTCTGAATAGGAGAAGATTGAAGGTAAGAAGGTAATTTGAAAGTTACTACATTATCAAGTGTGAAGAGAGAGGAGTAGGAATAGAAGTTGAAAGAAAAGAGGGTTTAATAGGTTTTGTACATGATATTGGAAGAGAAAGCAGCTCCAAAATGATTCTGGAGTTTTGATTATTCAAGAGTGGCAGTCTTTAGAGAGTGTCAGAGAATCAGAGGTGAGAGGTTCATTTTGAGGGAAAATGATATTATGAATTAGAAGTGACTTCATGTCATCTGAGTGAAAATTTCCTGCAGGCTGTGGAGATAGGGGAAGAGAGCTCAGGAGGAACATTGACATTGTGATATAAATTTGTGCTCCATCATCTGGGTGACAGTTAATCCCTGATGATGAATGGATATAGGAGGAAACTGTGGAGGGAAAAAAAGTCATTAAGTGATTGGTTAATACATTTCTACTTCTCTCTCTTTAAATATGACTACAACAAATATATAGTTAGGTCAGCAAGAAGTAGGAAATCTGTCTATGCAAAAAGGATTTCAAGAAATCCTATTTTTCAAGGATTTGTAAAAGGCTAAGCTATACAGAATGTATATATACACACATATATATATTCACACACACATAGATATTTATCTAGAACATACTACTCATATGATAGCTTAAATATTTTAATAACTGTGTTATAACTATCACTTATTTAATACCATTATATACAAAATATTGGTATATATGTAATAACTCAATCTTTGTATAGAGCATGTCACATAGGTAATAACTTACTATTTTGCCAGTACCTTTTGGCAAAGAAGAAAACTGAGATACAGATATGTTAAGTAACTTCTCCAAGATCTTGTTGATATTAAGTGATAAAGCTGGGATGGAAGTAGACTTGCTCTTCATATATATTTTAATTGCTGTGCATTATTGCTCTCATGTAAAACCATTTTTTGTTAAAGGTTTATTTATACAAGAACTTGAGTAAAGGCCAGAGGTGTGGGGTAGGGTGTGAGAGGATTCACCAGAGACAGAGTAGGGAGCAGAACAGGCAGATTGATTAAAATACACAGCTGAGGGGAGCAGCATTTGAGACAGGAGAGGTTTGCTGGGCCATGTGGGTCACCTCCCTGGCTGGGGATCGAACTGGTGCTGCGGTAGCTGCTGATAGCTTCCTAATGCTGCTCTTTAACCTATTGCACCATCAGGGAGGGCCCTATATAAAACTATTCTTATGCAACCATCTTTGATAGAGTGTTCTCAACAAGATCCTGTTTATAAGTTATTCTGTTTGACATAAAGAAAAGGTGACTTTCTTAGGGTGATATATTGACAAGGTATTCTATAGATTGTGGATGTTTTTTATTGTGTTTTTATGAGACTAGTAGAAAGCATCTACTAGAAAGAGAATAGATTAGTACTTCAGGCTGTGAGGAACAAAACATGATCTATGAGACCAGAACATGATCTGCTAGGCTTGACTACATACAGACCAATTGTTAGCTAAAAACTGCGCTAACCTTTGAAGATAATGTTTATACTATAAACGTGTAACACTGTTATAAACAAGGGGAACAATGCAAATAAGCTTAATGTGCCCATGAATTTAGATTCTAATGTCATGGTTTGGCTAGTACTTTCTATCTCTGCACTGATTTTCTATTAATTAAAATAAGTAGGAAATTAGAGAGTAGTTTCTTTCTAAGTTTTAAAGATTTGTTATACCAGAGTATTTTCTCTTGGTGCAGATTTACTTGGGCTGACTCCAAATACACGCTAACATTCTGTCACTTTTAACAATAAATCACTGGATAACCATTTCTAGGCAACATCCAAAGCTATGTTTAGATAATGTTAGAAAATGTGCAGGGAGATACCAAGCAGAATGATGAGTAACATTTAGAGAACCAGAGGAGGAAATGAGACACAGTTGCAAACTGCAAGGATCAAGATGAAACTGCAAGGATCAAGGACTCAAAGACTGGTCAA